GAGAATGTAGCCAGGCCCAGTGTTGAGGTCGCACGCGTCTTTGGATTAGCTGGCGTGTTGACAGGCCCCAAACGAGGCCGGGTGCGTCCCGTCGTATGAGGGGTGATATTGTGATTGTGTTTGGTGAGTTGTGATGGATAAATCCTAGAATGTATGAATTTGTATGGCCGTAATGGTTTATTTGATATTAGGAGCCATGATAGATACGAAAGAGCTACGTGTGGCGTGATCCCTTAGTAGGGTACGCAGGCAGCCTGAAGTTACTATGTGCAGCTACAGATTAGACCCCACTTAGGTGGTCTTACTGAGATTGGTTCGGACCTCGTTGTTAGTCCTGAAACTTGGTTGAATTGAGGCTTGTCTTGTGGACTAAGTGAGTGAAGGTGTGCATAAATTTGAATTTATTATGGGGAGTTTCACTAAAACACCCAAAATGGGGTCTGAAATTATAAAAAAATCCAAGCACTATTTAAACATATAAACACACCCAAAACCTATCATTACACACACTCAAAACCCATTTATAAACACACCCAAAAAGTTGATTTTGGGTGTGTTTCTATGTTTAAATAGTGCTTGAGTTTTTTTATAAATACATGTTTAGGATAAATACATGTATTTATTATATGCATGTTTGAGGCATTAAGTTATTTTTAAAACATTGTGGGCAATTCTGCTAGAATCATTAGAAGGCCGGAGGCCCTTTGTGTAAATTGCATGAGATTATATTGTGCGTGCTGCCGGTTGGGTTATGAAATGTGTTTTATGCATGTGGAAATTTTAGGGAAATGTTCAATTTACAGGGGAGACTCTGCCGAAATTTCGGCAGGAAGTCTCATGCCCTTAATCCTCTCTGGTAAACGAGGACATAGATTTAAGGAGTGAACCCGGCGTGGGGGTGATGCCGGGGTCTCCGCAGAGTTCGTCTCGGGTTCTGGGAAATTCGGGGATGGTCCTGTCACCATGTCCAGTGAATAACGTGAAATAAGGTTACTCATGTACCTTATCATGCAATTTATAAAGTGTAAAATATTGTACTAAAAAATGATAAATAAATTACTAAGGGGTGTTTAATTCTTTTTCAATAATTACTTCAGATTTTCTAAGTCACAGAGTTTGTCAGGTCGCAATATAATCAACTTAAATCACACAAACCCAATATGCAATGCAATTCCTTCCAATTTTTGTGTCAAAATAATAGATGATTGACTAAATAAACTTTTCTAAAGTTTCATTAAAAATTTCCATGTATTTATCATAATTTCCATGGTTTTTATCTAATTTTTATCGATATCGATATTTTCCCGATATTTCCATCGATATTTCCATCGATATTTCCATGTTTTTGAACCACCGATATTTCCGAAACTATCGATATTTAAGACCTTGGTTGAAACCCAAAAACATAGTATGTTGCAAGAAAATCGTAGAGTTAAGATCTTCATTTAGTTAACATGGCTTAAGTAATTTTTGCAGGACTGGATTATCTACACAATGGCTGCAAGCCATCAATAGTACATAGAGATCTAAAGACTTCAAATATCTTGCTAAATGAAAATCTTCACGCCATGACAGCCGATTTCGGTCTTTCTAAAGTTTTTGCAACTGAAAGTGCCACTCATGTATCAACTGACCCTAAAGGAACATTTGGGTACCTTGATCCTCAGTAAGTGTTAATTTGCTCACTAAATTTTCCACATTTTTCTGGAATCTTGTTTTATGATCAGATCCAAATTGTAAACTTTTCGTATATGTGAATTGTTTGAATTGAGTTATATGTTTGGTCATTTTCTATAAGCCCTAAACCCTAAATCCTATAGGTAGGTAGTGCTTTATTAGATCAAATTATCCCTAAAACAAGGAATATCTAATTAATTGTTTTCACTATTCTGCCAGATATTACTACACAGGAAAGCTGAAAAAAAGGAGTGATATATACAGCTTTGGGATTGTGTTGCTAGAGCTAATAACTGGTAGAGCAGCAATAATAACAGATGTGGAAGCTGAGCCTATTCACATATGTCGATGGTGAGTCCAAATTTTGAGACTGGAAACTGAAAGTATCGTGAATCCAAGAATACAAGGGACCTACAACACCTCTTCTGCTTGGAAAGCTCTACAAATTGCCATGGCATGTGTGTCTTTAAAAGCAATCCAAAGGCCTGATATAACTTTTATCTATAAGGACTTGAAGGAATGCTTGGAAATTGAGATGTCCTCTGGAAGAGCACAAATTGTAGGGAACGATGATACAAGTTCAAGCAGCTCAATTAGAATGGCCTCCCAAATTGAGTCAGAAACTAGTTCAAGCAGCCCAGTTATTATCTCTATATAGACTGCTATCATGTAAGGAAAATTACCAAACGAAATATAAGTATGATGTTCGCCAATGAGGCCTAGCCCGGTGGTCTTGACTTGCAGACTAGTGGTCTCAAGTTCGAACCCCACGGTATCTTAACAGTGTGTCAAAAAAACACCCTTCTCTTTATATATATATGAGTATTATGTTTATCATGACCAATGACCGCGAGATCATCAGCCACCAAAGGTGTTCTAGACTGCAAGTATTGGTTTAAGGTCTTCGCCTCACACTTGCACATTGTTATTTTCACATGCATTTGGCCTCTTGTTTTAGCCCTGATCTATTATTGGTGTAAGGTCACCCCAAGTTTGTAATTTCAACTTTCTTACGTACAAAAATAAAATAAAATATATTTACCAGTCGGTCATATTCATTTGTTAAGTCTTCCGTAGACCCATTGTCTTTCACATGCAGGCAAAATTTTCCACAAAACTCAAAGCGAATTGGTCATAAATTAACTACAGACTAAAGACTCCGCAGATTCATGTTCCCCAATAAAATATTATTAATGATGCGAATTTCCCATTTCACAATTATTCAACGACATCGACCCTAACCTCATTTTGCGCAAATCTGAAAATTCCCTTCATGGTTATCACTTATTCAATTATTTAAAAAGAAAAAATTGAAGAGCATTAGTTTTATGAGAAATATGAAAATTTGTGTAACAGAGAAGACAATTGCACAATACAATGTCAATATTGGTTCAACTCAAAATGTGTAGCGGGTAAGCCATTAGCTATTGGTGTAGTGCTACTTCTCTTTCACAATATTCAGTAGCAATGGGGACAAGAAAATGACCCTTGATCCCCAAAAGTTGTAAATATTACCTGAACTTTTAAGCATGTGCGTCATTACCACCTAAACTTTTAATTTTTATCTTTACCCATCTAAACTTTATAAAGTGTTGCAATCCACCACCTACATATAACTTCGTTAAAATTTCCGTTAAATTTAGGGTATTTTCATTAATTAACAACAACTAAAAATAATTTTTAAAAAATAAAAGAAGCGTTACAGGTGATGGAGGTCATAATCTTACGGTGATGGCAGAAATTGAGGCCTTCTAAACTTGTTGTGGTTGTGCCCTGATCTGATCTTATGGTGATCATATATGAAAATCAGCTGCACAACACCCATGACCACCTCTTCTTTCGAATGTTCTTTTTGTGAGGGCTTGACATACCTAATCTCACTAGCTCAATAAGTGTTGGATGGCATGGAACTATGGAACTATGGTTATCCATCACAGAATTAATGCTATCTGCAGGGAAAGATGAGCCAAAAACAAAAACAAAAAAACCAGATTCACATTGTCATTGTCCATGTCACAAAGTTTAATTTGGAACTCATCACCAGCAAGCAACCATTATATGTTCGCTTTACAGCCCCTTGCTTTTATCCCATTCCACAATGTATAATTTTCCTTTATTAGTCTCATCCCATATGAGAATAAAGTATGGTTTGCATAACAATAGGAATACTTAAGCAATCAAGTACTCACCTTGAAGGAGTTATGAAGTGTGTATACAAAGATATGTCCTATTGTAATGCATGCTACCTTTTTTATTCACGCGCTACCCTCTACATAAAATCATTTTATTTGTTGTTTTTTTCCAGTTGTATACTAAGAGAAGGGGCCTCATTTAGTTCATCGCCTAGGGCCACCCAAAAGTCAGGGCCTGCCCTGGCCATCTGGCATGAGATTGATTGTATGCATTTGAAGGACTTTAGTTGATCTGCTGATGTGGCTCATCATCAGATAAAGAAATTGAAGTTGATCGAGTTTACGATTTTCTTAGAGGGCTTAATTCACCGTTTGATAGAGTTTGTTTATAGCAGAATCCTTGCTCTCAGTCCTATCCCGCCTTCTCTAGAAGCCTACGCCATAGTCATGGAGGAAGCCACTCGCCAGTATGCTATACTCGGAGAAGGTGCAGTGGCCCTAAAGGTGGATTCTACACGTAACTGATCTATCACCCATCAGGAAATGACTGGTCGCCCGTCTCCTTAGAAGTCTTCCGCCCCTTATGGTTCTCGTTCTTCTGGTTATGCTCCTGCCAAACCTAGTTCTCTTGAAGGACCTCGTAAGTGCCATCATTGCGGTGGTGATCATTACTTCGAGAAGTGTTTTAAGGAGCATGATTACCCTAATTGGTTTGTTGACTACAAAACTCGTATGTATGGCCCCAAGGCTGCTTGCATTATGACCCAAGAATAGACAAATTCTCATGCCCCATTTGCCAATTTGTGTGCTTCTGATACCATGCCAGGTATTGGTTCTAATAATTGGATAATTGACACTAGTGCTTCTGATCATATGACTTGTGATATTAACATGTTTGATGAGTTGTCTCATAACCCTTGTGATCCCTATATCACTAGTGCTAATGGTTTACCTTCCCCCATTACCGTGAGGGTACCATCAACCTCACCCTTCTTTATCTTTGTCTCATGCACTCTTGGTTCCTAATATTCGTTGCAACTTGTTATGTGTTGGTCGTTTACTTGATACAATTAACGCATTTGCTACATTCTGTGACAGGACCCGCCCCGAATTTCCCGAAACCCGAGACGAACCCTGTGGAATTCCCGACATCACCCCGATGTCGAACTCACTTCTGAAAACTATATCCTCTTTCTCTTAAAAGAGTAAGGGCACGAGACTTTTCTGCCGAAATTTTGGCAAAGTCTCCCCTGTAATTTGAACAATTCCCAAAAATTTCAACATGCATAAAACACGTTTAATATACCAACAGGCAGCGCGCACAATATATTTTCAAGCAATTCACATAAATGGCCTCCGGCCTTCTAATATTCCGAAACCAAACTACCAATAAAGTTCTTAAGCCAAAAATACCTTAAATAGGGCAAATATAAGTTCAAGCACACTTATGAATGCCGAAAGCAAAGTTTACAACATCTAACTTTCCCAAAAATCCAACATCTGAGGTTTTAACCTCCTAACACAAACACAAGTAGTTTAAGGCCTCACCCTAATCATACAACAACCCAAACGGGTCTTCCCCATAATTCAGCCGCAGCACATTAATACCACTTTCCCGTAGTCAAACGGGAGTATGAACAATTATCTAATCACATCTCGGTTTCATCCAAGTTTCAGGACCAAAGACAAGGTTAGCACCACTCAACAAAGCACCTAACTAAATCTAGTCCGCGGCTACACCTAAGCGCTATCCCAGGCTGCCTATGTACCCTACTAAGGGATCAAGCCACACGCATTTCTTTCTCTAAAACCCTTTTTCTATAAATCACAACTCAACAATACCCACAAAATCTCCCCATACGCCGAAACATCCAAAGTCACGCATGGGGCCTGTCCGCAGGCCGAATAATCCTACGACGCGTGGGACCTCATCAACATACCACATAATCCCCTCATATGCCGGTACTACGACCAACGCCACATATGGGGTCTGTCAACACGCCGGCTACTCCTACGACACATGCGACCTCAACACAATATCAATATCCCCCATATACCGGTACGACGACCAACGCCGCATATGAGCTCTGTCAACACGCCAGCTACTCCTACGATACGTGCGACCTCAACACAATATCAATATCCCCCATATGCCGGTATGACAACCAACGTCGCATATGGGGTCTGTCAACACGCCGGCTACTCCTACGACGCGTGCGACCTCAACACAATATCAATATCCCTCATATGCCGGTACGACGACCAACGCCGCATATGGGGTCTGTCAACACGTCGGCTACTCCTACGACACGTGAGACCTCACAAGTATCACAGTAACTCCCCATATGCCGGTACTACTACCAACGCCGCATATAGGGTCTGTCAACACACCGGCTACTCTTACGACACGTGCAACCTCACCAGTATCACAGTAACTCCCCATACCAACGCCGCATATGGGGCCTATCAACACGCCAACTACTCCTACGACACGTGCGACCTCAACACAATAACACAGTGTCTCCCCATACGCCGGAACATCCAAAGCCGCGTATGGGGCCTGTCTACACGCCGAATAACCTATGACACGTGGGACCTCACAATCGCATAGTGGTACTTACAGTGTAATCGAAATCCGGGAAGGTATATAGGGTAGTGCATATAGCACTTCAAACTGACAATCTAAACTCTTTTCACACCTTGAAATATCCACATAACTCGACTAACGATCAAGACCTGTCTCTACAGTAATTTTAATCTTCCTAGAAAGGTAACACTACCTAGGAAGTCTCATGGTCAACCCAGGGTCAAACTACCCAACCTTGATCAAATGGGCCCACGGGGTCCACGACCTCCAAATTCCAATATGAAAGTTCCTATAGTTTCTACAAGGTCTAGGACACATGTCCTGCAAGTTTGGTCCAGATCGGACGGTCAGATCGCTCACGATCGCACGATTGGACGGTTACTAAAACTCTAGGCCTAGGGTTGGCATTTCCGGAGTATTCGGGACTCAGTTTTACGATCCGTCGAATCCTACATAATCCTACGAATGTCTAAATTAACATATTATCAATTCAGGACCATCCAACGGTCCAAACCTAGCGAACCCGGATAACGTGCAATATACGATATCTGTTCGGGACTCTAACGGTATCCAAATTGGGATTCGAGCACACCTACGTGCTCGTGACAACCTGAGGATCCCATTGGGACAAAAATGCCCCTTAGCTACAGTGCCCATGTGCCGCCACACGCGCTGGCAGTGCGTGGGTGTCCAAAGGGATTATGCTTCGCCGGAAAATCTCAAAATCACGGCTCAAGACTCCTACCCTAGGTGTAACACCCTATTTGGAGTCACTTTTGTTCTTGGGCATATCCCAAAAACTGACCGGAAGTGGCCGGAATCTCATCCTGAAATCCAACCGAAATCCAATTCGAAGATCAGACATCCTACGCTCAAAATCGATGCAATCCTACCCAACCATCAACTAGATCATGAAAAATAAGTAGAAATCCATACCTT